CTCTCTCCCCATAGCTGTGTATCAATCCCAAACTAATCCCACTGCCCTACTCTCTCCCCATAGCCATGTATTAATCCCAAACTAATCCCACTGCCCCACTCTCTCCCCATAGCCCTGTAACAATCCCCAAAACAATCCTACTGCCCCTCTCTCTCCATAAACCCATACCAATCCCCAAATTAATCCCCACTGCCCCACTCTCTCCCCATAACCCTGTATCAATCCCAGACTAATCCCATTTCCCCACCATTTCCCTTTTCAACAGAAGGTGAAGAGACATCACTGAGGAGCATTCTGGGAGAGGTTGGCTCAGTCACCATGATGGAAGAACCCAATGCCAATCTCTGGATTACTACCTGTGCCATATGTTAGTGAGGCTAGGAATGGGCAGATTAGGCAGTTTAATACAGGGCTGGGGGGAGTGGTGTATGAGAGAGGGCTCTGAATAACAGGGACCCTTTCTGGTTTTTTATTATTTGGTTTAAGTTTTCCAACAGTTAAATTATTCCAAATTCCTCTTTCTTTTGTTTGTATTTTAACTATAGTGTTTAAATAAATTGTATTTTGACTAATGTTGAGTAGCTTGACCCATTGCATCACATCTGGAACCTGCACTTAACATCTACATTTAAAATAATAAAACATTAGGGTCTAGGCTAACTTCTTAAAATATTTTCAGAGGGCTTGGTCTGATCTATAACAGTGGTCATGACTTCAGTGGCTCAGTGGTTAGCACTGCTGCCTCACAGCTCCAGGCACCTGGGTTCAAATCCACCGTGAGAATGACCTCCGTATGGAGTTTGCACATTCTCCCCGTGTCTGCGCGAGTTTCCTCCGCGTGCTCTGGTTTCCTCCCACAGTCCAAAGATGTGCAGGTCAGGGTGGATTGGCCATGCTAAATTGCCCGTAGTGTTCAGGGATGTGTAAATTAGGTGGATTAGACATGGGAAATGCTGGGTTACAGGGAAAGGGTAGGGGGATAGGTCTCGGTGAGATGCTGATCAGAGAGTCAGTGTGGACCTGTTGGGTCAAATGGCCTGACCCTACACTGTAGGGATTCTACGGTTCTACAATTGGGAGTTAACTATTCACGGGTATCAGACTATTAGGAAGGAAAGGGAGGTGCTGTAGCTCCAATATTTAAGGATGACATCAGTGTGCTAGTGAGGGTGAATCAATGTGGGTGGAAGTTAGAAACAGGAAGGAGAAAAAGTCACTAATAGGTCTGGTCGAGAGGCCACCAAATAACAATATCATGGTGTGGCAGGCAATAAACAAAGAAATAACTGATCCATGTAAAAATGGTACGGCAGTTATCGTGGAGGATTTTAATCTACATATTGATTGGTCAAACCAAGTTGGTCAAGGCAACCTTGAGGAGGAGTTCATCGAATGGATCTGTGATAGTTTCCCCTAACTGTGTGTAATGGAACTGATGAGGGAGCAAGCTATCCTAGACCTGGTCCTGTGTAATGAGACAGGAATAATTAATAACCTGATAGTTGGAGATCCTCTCGGAAGGAGCGATCACTGTATGGTTGAATTTAAAATACAGATGGAAGGTGAGAAGGTAAAATCCAATCCCAGAGTCCTACAGGAGACTACAACGGGATGAGGGAGGATTTGGCTAAGGTAGGCTGGGAGCAAAGACTATATGGTGGGATAATTGAGGAACAGTGGAGGACTTTCAAAGTGATTTTTCACAGTGCTCAGCAAAAGTATATCCCAGTGAGAAGGAAGGACTCCAGGAAAAGGGGATAATCAGCCATGGATAATTAAGGAAATAAAGGAAGGTATCAAATTGAAAGAAAGTGCATGCAAAGTGGCAAAGATTAGTGGGAAACTAGTGAATTGGGAAATATTTAAAGGTCAACAAAAAGCCACAAGAAAAGCGATAAAGAAAAGTAAGGTGAATTGTGAGAGTAAACTCGCTCGGAACTTTAAAACAGATAGCAAACTTTTCTACAAATATATAAAATGAAAAAGAGTGGCTAAGGTAAACATTAGTCTTTTGGATGATGACAAGGGGGATTTAATAATAGGAAATGAGGAAATGGCCAAGGCATTGAACAGGTATTCTGTGTCAGTCTTCACAGTGAAGGACACAACTAACATGCCAATAATTTGAAGACAAGGAGGCTACGGCAGGTGAGGACTTAGAAACAATCATTATCACTAAAGAGGCAGTGTTCGGCAACTTAATGGGGCTAAAGGTAGACAGGTCTCCTCGCCCTGATGGAATCCATCCCAGGGCACTAAAAGAGATGGCAGGGGAAATAGCACCTGCACTCATGGTAATTTACCAAAATTCCCTGGACTCCGGGGCAGTTCTGGCAGATTGGAAAACAGCAAATGTGACGCCACTGTTTAGAGGAGGTAGACAAAACATGGGTAACTGTAGACTATAGTTCTGAGGAAGGGTCACCGGACCTGAAACATTAACTCTGTTTTTTCCTTCATAGCTGCTGCCAGACCTGCTGAGCTTTTCCAGCAACTTTGTTTTTGCTCCTGATTTATAGCATCCACAGTTCTTTTGGTTTTTATTAACTATAGGCTCATTTGCTTAACTTCTGTAGTGGGGAAAATGCTTGAATCTATAATCAAGGAAGAAATAGCTTGACATTCAGTGGAGTTACCATCACTGAATCCCCCACTATCAACATCCTGGGGGTTGTCATTGACCCAAAACTCAACTGGACTCACCACACAAACACAGTGGCTACAAGAGCAGGCCAGAAGCTGGGAATCCTGCAGTGAGTAACTCCCCTCCTGACTCCCCAAAGCCTGTCCATCATCTACAAGGCACAAGTCAGGAGTGTGATGGAATACTCCCCACTTGCCTGGATGAGTGCAGCCCCAACAACACTCAAGAAGCTCAACACCATCCAGGACAAAGCAGCCGCTTGATTGGCACCACATCCACAAGCATCCACTCCCTCCATCACCGACGCTCAGTAGCAGGAGTGTGTACTATCTACAAGATGCACTGCAGAAACTCACTAAAGATCCTCAGATAGCATCTTCCAAACCCACGACCACTTCCATCTAGCAGGACAAGGGCTACAGATACATGGGAACACCACCACGTTCAAGTTCCCCTCCAAGTGAAACAAATCAGTGTTCCTTCACTGTCAATGGGTCAAAATCTCAGAATTCCCTCCCTAATGACATTGTGGGTCAACCCACCGCAGGAGGAATGCAGCGGTTCAAGAAGGCAGCTCACCCCCACCTTCTCAAGGGCATCTAGGGATGGGTAATAAATACTGGCCCAGGCAGTGACATCCCCCAGAAATGAATTGTTCCATTGGGCAGACACAGCATGGGTTCATGAAAGGCAGGTCATGTTTAACTAATTTACTGGAATTCTTTGAGGACATTATGAGCACGGTAGACAAGAAGGAACCAGCAGATGTGGTGTATCAGACATTAGACAAGGTACTGCACAAAAGGCTGCTGCATAAGATAAAGGTACATGGCGTTACAGGCAATGTATTAGCATGAATCGAGGATTGGTTACCTAACAGGAAGCAAAAAATGGGGATAAATGAGTGCTTTCCTGGTTGGCAATTAGTGGCTAATGGTGTGCCTCAGAGATCAGTGTTGGGATCACAATTGTTTACAATTTACATCGATGGTTTGGAGTTGGGAATCACATGTAGTGTGTCAAAGTTCATGGACAACACTAAGATGAGTGGTAGAGCTAAGTGTTCAGAGGACACTGGGAATCTGCAGAGGGACATAAGTAGGCCAAGTGAGTGGGCATGGGTCTAGCAGATGGAGCACAATGTTGGTAAATGTGAGGTCATCCATGTTGGTAAGAATAACAGTGAAAAGGACTATTATTTAAATGGTAAAAAATTGCATCAGGTAATTAAGAAGGCAAATGGAAAATTGTTCATTGCTAGAGGGATGGAGTTTAAAAGCAGGGAGGTTATGTTACAGCTGTACAGGGTCCTGGTGAGGCCACACCTGGAGTACTGCGTTCTGTTTTGGTCTCCACACTTGAGAAAGAATGTACTGGCACTGCACAGGGTACAGATGAGGTTCACTAGGTTGAGAGGGTTGGTTTATGAGCAGAGACTGAGTAGACTGGGACTATACTCATTGGAATTTAGAAGAATGAGAGGGTATCTCATAGCAGCATATAAAATTATGAAGGGAATAGATAAGGTAGAAGCAGGGAGGTTGTTTCCACTGGCTAGTGAAACTGGAACTAAGGGGCATAGCCTCAAAATAAGGAGGAACAGATTTAGGACTGAGTTGAGCAGGAACTTCTTCACCCAAAGAGTGGTGAATCTGTGGAATTCCCTGCCCAGTGAAGCGGTTGAGGATTCCTCATTGAATGTTTTTAAGGCAAAGACAGATTTTTGAAGAGTAAAGGAATTAAGGGTTGTGGTGAGCGGGTGCGTAACTGGAGCTGAGTCCACAAAAAGATCAGCCATGAACTTATTGAATGGCAGAGCAGGCTCGATGGGCCAGATGGCCTACTCCTGCTCCTATTTCTTATGTTCTTATAGACCCCTACCAATCCCCATACTAAACCCACTGCCCCATTCTCTTCTCATTGCCCCGTACCAATCCCCAAAATAATCCGACTGCCCCACTCTCTCCCCATAGCCCTGTACCAATCCCCAAAATAAT